CATGGAGATTGGAAAGCAAGGAAATTGTGGAGAGTCATGATCGGCAACGTCCCTAGGTAACACGGCACGTAGAAAAGAAGAAGAAGATATTTTGTAAAGACATTTTCTTCCTATTTTTACTAAAAATATTTTTATCAAACTAGGCAAACAATTTCCTAGCAGGTTAGTCCTGAGTATGACGATAAACTACATCCAGCAGCAAGACTGAAAAGTTCATAGGCTGACTATGAAGGACTGATGCTAGATCTGTGTAATCTGGCATGCATTAATTTCAAATCTTATTAATAACAGACTTGTTTCTTTCCAGGTACGAGAGTGGGCTGAAAAATTCATAGGCTGACTTTGAAACTGTGAAATCTGGCATGCAGCCTATGAACGTTTCAGCCCATCCTCGTACTTGGAAAGAAACAATGCAGTTATTAATAAGAAGAGATGAAATTAATGCATGCCAGATGTCACAGTTCTAGCATTACACCTTCATAGTCAGCCTATGAACTTTTCAGCCCACCTTCGTACCTGGAAAGGAACAATGCAGTTATTAATAAGAAGAGATGAAATTAATACATGCAAGATTTCACGGCTTTAGCATCACTTATTCATATTCTGCTCATGAAATTTTCAGCCATCTTCTTAAACTATAATTTTGTAAGGAAGAAAAATTGTGTGAAATACGTTGGAAAATTAATTTTTAATTAAAAACAAGAAAATACAATCTTAACCCCTGCCATAAAAAAAATTGTAAGTTCTCTCATTTCAGCAGAGCATATTCAAGTAAAAGAGATTTTAGTATATTTAAATATGTGATGTTTAAAGCACGTAATCAATATATTTCAAATATCTTTAGCTATAGTAGAAAACATTACTGTATATAAAAAGCAAGCTATCACTAGATTACAAAAGTATGACAAAAAATTACTGTATATCAAAAGCAAGCTAGCTCTATATTAGGAAAGTATTTTAGCTATAGCAGAAAACGTTACTGTATACAAAAAGCAAACTAGCAGTACATATAAACATAAATCAAGAATACCCAATATAAATGTTCATATTCCTTCACTAGTCTTTGGCCGTTTTGTATGATGGTCATGTTTTTCTCTTGGCTTAATGTTATGTTCCCCAGGTTAGTGTTTTACCATTACCGCTATTTCAGTTCACTTACTTTTCTTTCTTCTGTAGTTTCCAGCTGTGTTTCCAGGGGTGTTTCCAGGGGGGTTGAGAAAGCGTATTTAGTTATGCTGCGTCCGTTGATCTCGACGATCATCGCCGATATTTTGTAACGATAATCACTTTTACAGTACCGGCAACACCATTACTACCAAAACCACCGCTACTATCAATACCACCACCACCACCACCACCACCAAGACTAATAATAATAATAATAATAATGATGATGATGATAATGATATTGCTTGAATAATCAATATTTCCAGGACAAATATCTTAGCCTTTTTTTTGGGAAAAAATGCGTCTTATCTGCCGTGAAACAGAGTAAGACTTTTTCTTTTCTAGTATAGACCAGTGTTTCTCAACATTTTTAAGCAACGGCACACCTAGGAGCAAATGAAAATATCACGGAACACTTATCGAAATGTTAAAGGGTATACATTTAAAAGTTATGAAATGAAACCATCAGTTTTTAATTAAACAAAGAATGTTGACTACAGTTATATGAAAAAAGGTTAATATTCATTTATTCAAATAAAGGGACATTTTAAAAAGTTAAAATAAATATACTTTTAAAAAATGAATATTAAAACAAAGTATTTAGAATAACATTTTCGAAGAACAGTGAAAAGAATTATTTGAAAAAAAAGTTTAATAATTCTGAATTTATTCCAATGCTAATGCTGTGCCATTACTACTTCTACGCATATATTTATACCGTGACAATATTTTGCGGCACACTTAAAGAGGATCGCGTTGTCCACTAGTATACCGCGGCACAGCAGTTGAGAATCACTGGTAAAGACACTAGTATCAGTCGTAATATTACTTCAGGCGTTTCACTGCGGAACAAGGATTCATTAACTGTTTACTCAAATCATTGACATTGTAGTTAACCCCTCTTACCTCGTGGCTTTGCGCTAGATGTTCATCTTTGCAAATGCATATATGAACATAGAGACCTTGAGACAACAAAATTCATTCTCGCATATTGACATTAGGTATGAAAAAAAAAAAAAAAAAAGATTTTTTTAATGCTCTCAACTTTGAATTAAAAGTAGTCCACTGGTTATTATTACTTTTTAAAAAAAATGTAAATATATTTTTCGGGAAATCCTTCTTTAGAATATAATCGTCTTGAAATTGAAAATATTGAATTTTACATGCTCCATCGTGTTTCATATCTTTTATATATCTAGCACAAAGTATAATCTTAATTACACAATAAGTAGAAACTCATTAATTACCCAATTAGTAGAAAATTATCTTAATTACCCAATTAGAAGAAACTCATCTTGTTTATTCCCTTACTAGTTTCGCTCTACCATAAAAAAATGACGACAATTTCTGCAATTGCATTTGTTATATTTTCTGTATGAGTAATCGAGGATTTTTATCTATACAATTAATTATATGTAAGAAAGAATTTTGCTTTCGAAATCAATTACCTCTGTTTTCAAATGTAAGAAAGAATTCAGCATTAAGAGAAAAATATCCACAGAAAGCCAACAAAAACAAATCGGAACGGCAAACGGTGGAGTGTGATAGATAGCGACTCGAGCTAAGGAATTCCAGTCGAATCCATTACATTCACTTATGTACTAATAACCTTGGCATAGGTATGAATCCTTTTCTTATCCCCCCAGCTATGGGTAAATATCAGGAAAGACAGGGTTCTATGTCTTTGGTTGGAAACTGGTCCACCGCAGAAAGAAATGGCAACCTCCTGCGTGAAAGATACATGATCGCCTAAGCGTGTATCACGCATGGCCCATGACTGATTCATTCAGGATATGGACGATAAAGCTTCTTCACAGTTTCATAGCTCTAAACAGTGTTTATCTCCTTAACATCTATACAAACTCGTTAGGTAGGTTACTCACTATTTTATCTACTTTTGTTCTTAATATGTCCTGTGAGTATCAAATTCTCCAAAACGTCTTTTCCCATTATGTGCGCCAGAAATTTCGTATCTCTTCCTGATTCTAAGTATAACTGTCCATTCTGCTTTTATTTTCCTTAAAATTTCCTCATTACTCAAATGTTCAGTCCATGGTATTCTCATCATTCTTTTGTCGAACCACATCACTCTTGCCTCCTATGAAGTGGAGGCAAGAGTGTTGTGCGATGAAACTGTTCAGTATTCACTGTCAAATAGGAAGGCTGATATTACATACCAGTCGAAAACTGTTATCTTTGTTTTCAAATGAATTGTTCTGTTTTGTCTAGTTTTTCGATGGCATCTTTCGTCGTTCCAATGTGTCTTCGGATTTCGGTGTCACATTTTTCATCGTCTGTCATAACACTTTCAATATTATTTTTAATCATTTCATCCCAGGCAAGTTGGCAATGCCACTATGACTCAGGGGATTACAAGGAGGGAAAGAGAATTAGAAAACTTTAGTGAAGCGAAGTGAGAAAAAGTTCAATAAAGGGACAGGCTTCAGGAAGACAGAAGGTGGCGATTGGCGTTGCTTTTCTATTAATGCAGATTTTAGGTGGGTGCAAAGCAAGAAATCGGAAAGGAGTTCCACAGGTGAGAAGTTCGAAAAAAACAAAACAAAAAAAAAAAAAAACGATTAGAATAGAACTGACGGTTTCATCTAGCAGGTTCAGCAGCAAAAAGATGAGACCTACTTGTGAATGTGACAGCACGTTTAAATGCATGAAGTCGAGAAACCAAGGAGGAAATCTCATCAGAAAAATTGCCATGAAAATATTTGTAGAAAAGATGCCACGGAGTATCGGTGAGAAAGTGGCTAAAGTCGAGATGCCAGGTGAAGATTGGTTACATTACAGATCCTTCTTGAATTTTGTCAAGAATATAAAGATATATAGTAGGAGCACCAGATCAGATACGGCAGCAATATTCAGTGCGTGGACGAATGGTAGATTTATAAATGTACAATATGTGTTCCGACGAGAAGAATTGTCCGACACGGCACAGCGAACCAACTTTTCCCAGGAAGCGACCTAACAATTGACTCAATAGAAACACTTCACCATGTCAGTTGAAAACATGAGCCTAAGAAGGCTCAAAGTTTTGATTTCCTGGAGTTTAGCATTAGCCATGCCGATAGCAGGGATAAAAGTTGTTCTCCATGGTGATTAAATGAAAGCAGTTTTGTTTTGAAGGCGTTAAAATTTTCAAGTTATTCCTTGCCTCAGTTAACCACTGTTCGGAGTTACTTTTCAAGAAAAGTTGCCAGTTTTACTGTCCTCTTACAATCGATGACTAGTCTTCCCCACCCGCCTTTCTTTAATGCATTGCCTAGAAGAGTCTTCAGTTTGTTTTTCAGTGTTCGTATTTCCAAATAGATTAGTTCGACTATTTTGTAGAGAATAATACCGTAATTTATCTATTTATCTCAAATGTTGATTTGTTATTTAAAAAAAATATATCTTGCCTGTCCAATCTTGGATCTTCCTTGAAAAACTAGATTCGAAAGGTGAAAGAAACGAAATGGCAAGAACTTTTGCTTTTCTGGCGTACTTAGAAAAGATATTCAACTAAACCGTCACTTCTACTGGAAACAAACACCTTACATGCGAATAAGAATTGATTGATTCGTTTTTTACGGCTTACCAACCCTTTGCAGGTTATTTAAAGCCAGAAAATATTTTTCGATTGTATGAATTTCTTTTAGCGATAATAATGATTTAGTGATACAATTATTACTAATTAACCCATAGCTGAGGGGAGAAGAGGTGGATTCATGCCTTTCCCAAGTGAATTGCGTAAGTGAATATAACAAACTGAAACTGAAATTCGAACTGGGCTCTCCGATTAACAATTTCGAGTCATTATCCTTTACACCACCCGCACATCCAAGCTTACAGCACCTGGTATTTCCAAGTAGTCACTCATCTATGTACTGATCAGGCTCGTGTTTGCTTAACTTCGGTGATCGTATGGGAACCAATGTTTCAACGCTATATAGCCGTAAGCCTGCGGACAAAGAACGAGTTCGACAATTACACAGAAACAGAAAGAAAAAAAACGACAAAGGTATGTTTTCTCACTGGATTTATTTGATCTGTACAGCGAGGCGATCGTGAGAACGACAAGACATTCCAGAAAATATATCAGTGAATATAATCGTAACACGATATGCAGACGAAACTGTGTTGATAGTAGATTAAGAAAAGAAGCTGGACGAACTTATTAGACAATGTAGTAAAGGAGTGCAAGAGAAAAAAGATTATTAATTGTAAGAAACCAAAAGAGGCAACCCAATGTGTGAGTTACGAGGATATAAAAATCAAGTAAGTGTAGAAATCTGCCTGGGTAGCATACTAATTTTGTGATGACAACGAATACTCGTTGTCACTTTTGTGATGTCAAGGAATACTCGTTGTCACTTTTGTAATGTCAACAAATACTCGTCACTTTTGGGATGTCAACGAATACTCGTTGTCACTTTTGTGATGTCAACGAATACTCGTTGTCACTTTTGTGATGTCAACGAATACTCATTGTCACTTTCGTAATGCTCGTTGAAGTAGAGACTTTGTAATCGCAGATACAAGTATAGTAACGCCGTTGAAGAATACTGGTGTCAGAGGCCTTCGAATAACACTCGCACGAATAGTACTTGCTCGATAATACTCGCTCGAACAGTAACTACCAAATAGTGATCCGAATAGTAATCCGTATAGTGATTAGTATAGAGAAATAGTATAGTGAATAGTATAGAGAATAGCGATCCGTATAGTAATTGAGGATAGTGTGATCTACTTATTCAAAATTAGATCGCCTGTGTTTCCTCTCTGGTGATCTATGTTCAAACTTCAGTGTCGGTAGCGAAAGTTTATTCTTATATAACACTAACAGATAACAGAAAGTGTGATATGGAAGTCCGAATGTGCTTTGGAAATGGAAATGTGATTTTCAGAAACTGAACAAGATATCAACGGATCGGAAAATAGTCCTTATAAATAGTTTAATGCCTCCAAAACAAAACTGCTTTCATTTAATCACCATAGAGAACCTTTTCTGCTAATGTCAACCTCCAGCAGAGCAACTCTCTGTGTGGCCTTAGGCTCGCGTTTTCAATTGACATAAAGTGAAGTGATTATATTGAGTCAATTGCTAGATCAACTGCTAGGAAAATTGGTTAACTGTTCTCGTAAGAACCCATCTTATACATTTATCAATCCACCATTAGTCCGAGCATTGAATTTTGCTATATATATATATATATATATATATATATATATATATTAGTCCCCCCTTCACCTTTAGACCTTCCTGTTCTTCTCTCGTCTGTTACCCCTCCCTATAGCTTTCATTTACTCTAACATTCGTCCCACACTCTCATACATACACTTTTATTAAATTTTATTTTTTATTCCCGGAGTTGTTTTTTCTGTTTTCTTTTTGAATTTGTAGGTCTGATTACGATTCCAATGGAATAAATTATGACCATAGAATATTAGTGTTTAAGCCTTTTTATTATATCCTTACTCTGTCCTGGACATTGAGTTCTACCTGGATTCTATCCTCTTGGAATTATTTTTTATACAAATATATATGTATATATATGTATGTATGTATATATATTTTAGATATATGATTGCATATGTATGTGTATATTCACCACTAATATTATATATATATATATATATATATATATATTCTTGACAAAATTCAAAGAAGGATCTGTAATGTAATCGATTTTGACCTAGTATCTCGATATCAGTCATTTTCTCACCGACGTAACGTGGCTTCCCTCTGTCTTATCTACAAATATTTTTATGGCAATTGTACGAATAAGCTTTCTTCCTTGGTACGTCAACTGCATTAATTTAAGCGTGTTTCTAGTTTGGCAACTATGTCTCACCTTTTTACTATGGAGCTAGTTAGATGCAACCGCCAGTTCTGCTCTAATAGTTTCTTTTCTCGCAGACTCAGCCTGCGGAAATCACGATTTCTTACTTGGCTGTTACCTACAATCTGCAAAACTTTAAATGCCACGTCAATCGCCATCTACTGTCTTCTGCGTGAGAAGAAAGGCCAATAAAAGAACTGGGTCCACAGTTCTTTTATCACGCCTCCCCACTAAAGTTTTCTCATTCTCTTTGACACTCTGACCCCCCCCACCTCTTCGTCATAGTGTCATTGTCACAATGCTTGGGGTGAAATGATTAAAAAGAAAAAGAAAGAAAGAAAAGGCTGAACTGCTATGTGATACCTAACTTCTAATATGACAGTGAATACCGGACAATTTCTTTACGGGTGGAGAAGACGTGAAGCGACGGAGACATAATTCTGCCGATGAATGCTAAGATTACCATAGACGTATCATGTGAGAAATGAGGAAGTTTTAAAGAGAATTGGAGCTGCAATAAACTAATGCCCACAATCAGAAAGAGAGCGATGAAATGTTCGAAACGCATAATGAGGAAAGAAGGATTGGCGAACTTGTCACTCACAGGGTACATTGACGTTAAGAGAAGCATGTGAGAAACAGAGAGTAATCTATTTGTGTTTGACTTAATGGATGGCAGAACAAGTAAAGGACAAAAGGACAAAAATTGATAGTAAAGGAGAAGAACAACAAAAGACATGACGTTATGGAGAGTAATGACTCATTCTCTGAAGGTACATAAATAGAAAAAGAAATAAGGCTTTGACATTTATCGGAGTCTATGTGGTATATACTACATTTCAAAAGTCTGTAGCCACCCCCAGAATTAGCATGGGATGAACTTGACAGAAGAATTAAAAAATAAAAATGAAAAAGAGTTCTTAGAGTCATTGAAAAAAGAATGCAATCAATTATCAAACTTTATACTTTGAGAAACTTTTGCAACGAATCTAAAAAAATTGTGCTGCAGTAATCAATGTTAAAGGAGGATATTTTGACAAGAGCAAAATTTAATTATAAAATGTGTTTTTTCTTTTTGTCGTAATAAAATTTTTAATAAAACATCATGCTTCACCTTTTTCATACCATATATAATAATTTTTTTCTTATTTAAAGTACAAAACAACGGCTTTTTAGGCCAATTTAAAAGATTATCAGGGGTGGCCTTAAACTTTTGAACTGTAGAGTATATACAGCGATTTATTGACTTGGGTTGGCATGAATCTTATTCTATAATAACTGGTTGCTAAGGTATCAGCTTAAATGACTTTTCTGTCTTCCTTTAACCTATTGAACCCCAAGTCCTAAATATCTCGATTTGCAAGGGTTCCATTAGTAATATAGCAAACAGGAGAGTCAAAATTTTAGATTATGTTAGGCATGAGTCATAGACATAAAAGCTATTTTTCTAGGTTACTAGAGATATGAAAATCCATTTACTTTTTTATTGTCTCTGGATGACATTATAATGCGAGTGAAAAAAAATCAAATACATTGACTGAAAAAGAAAATAACTCTATTTCTGGGATGAAGAATTATCATTAATATTTACACTGTTTACATTTGGACTATGGTCCTCATCTTTGTTGTTGTTATCACAGCATTTCGGTCAATATGCTCTCCGGCTTTCATCATGGAAACACGGAAATTCAAAGTGAACCCTTTATTTAATCTACAGGTTAGACTGTTCGATTGTACTTGTCTAATTATATCTCCTCTAGTTCTTATTTTTAGTGCTGCGCAGTTATTGCTCGCCAAGTACACACTGTCCCGTCCAGGGACTGAATTCACAATTACATGTCACCAAGTTCATGAATCAACGCTTTTATCCACTAGGCAATTCTCTGTGGAGAACCTGGAGACTTAAACCTAACCTACCTGCTGATGAGTGCTGCTACTGCTTGTCATGCTTGACTGCACCCACATAACCTTTTCTCTTTGTGTTACAACTGATGTTGAAGGCTTGCTGTCATTTTACTTTCTTTATTAGGGGCACCGGACAGTTCGTGTGTAAATAATATAAATAAAGATAATGTCACAGTAATTAGGACAGAAATTATCATTACTTATTGAGAATAACAGGTGCTGTAAACTTGGATGTGCGGGTGGTGTAATGGATAATGATTCGGAATTGTTAATCGGAGAGCCGAGTTCCAATTCCAGCTGGGTACTTTATATTCACTTACACACAACTAACTTTGGGAAAGGTATGAAGCCATGTGTTCTCCCCCAGCTGTGGGTCAATTAGTAAGAATGGTATCACTAAAAAAAAAAAAAAAGTTTAAAAAATTCTTACAATCTAAAAACAGTTTCTGGCTTTAAATAGCCCGCAAAGTGTTGGTAAGCCGTAGCAAAAGACCTTTAATTTTTGTTTCGTCTTTTTGTATTTTATTTTTGAAACATTTCTTTCCAAACTTTTGCTGTCAGAGAAGGATTATTGTTCAAATATTAGGGTGTATCATAAGTATTTTCGTTTTTTTAGACTTTTACTTCAAATATTATCTTATGCACACATCAGAAGAACTTCTATGATTTCAGCATATTATTATTATTATTTCAGTTTTCTCGATATTTTTTTGTTTGATACTATCCTTTATCTCTTCTTTTATCTGTGACCTGTGCTAAAGAAAGTTTTTCTTTAAAAGTTATTGAACATATTATCTTGACAATTATTTTTTACTATATGAGCAGCGGTAATAATCATACTCTTTTGTGTCTCAGAAAGTGAGAGGGGTCCTTGCATTTCTTAATGAGTGTATCAATATCTTTTTTTAATCATTCCAAGTGTTCTTATTATTAGTGTTTGTGTTTGAATGTAATATCTATTTTCAGGTCCTTATATTTTTAAAGTTTCTCAAATTCTTTTACTGAGATTTCTTTATCAGAAAGGATCCTCATGAGATAGAACTTTTGGAAGTCTTTCTGTTTGATTTTGTCTTGTATAATGCGCGGTCGGTAAATATATGAATGTCTCAGAGTAAGTGTGACATTTTCATCTATCACTAGTAGTAGTTTGTGGTCATTAGGTTTCTTTTTTTTTCATGGGGACGTTTATAATCTCCCAAAACAGATATTT